TAGAGTCTCCGTTGATTAACCGGGTTTATTTTTTATTTAAAACGTTGGTGATATAACGGAAAAAAGCTTAATATAGAAATAAATCAAGTTTAAAATTGAATCGATATTTTTACTTTTATGATAAATTTTATGCACTTGGCTCTAGGCTAGGTGATCCCACATTACGTCTGTACTTTAGGCTTATCATACCAACATTCACAACACTTATAAGGTTACAGGACACCACGAACCCCTTTTACCCCCGTCACTAAAATCGTAATAGGCAGACAGTAATCGAACTATTCTATCTGGATAAATGCATTTTGGCTTTTATGACTCCTCCTATTTCGAGAAATCAAGCGTTATGTGACGTGATACACGTTGGTTTTAATATACGTTATATTACCTTCTAAAGTATAGATAGCCACACAGTCAACTTTACCGATTTCTTACACGATCAGTTTATAAATCCCCATGGTGGAAGGAAGAGAAAATTATTGGTGTTTGACCTGCCCTTGACACACAGCCTAGGTCACCACTCAAAGGTCTTACAGTTTTCTGAGGATTATTTTTCTATTGTCAGCTCTCAAGCAACCATTATTGATTTTTTAAAATTTATTTTGGAAAAGTCTGTTAACTTAGAAAAATCGTTCTGTCCAAACTGAGAACAACACCTTATTACGTTTTATTTATTTATTTCCTTCCATTTCATTACGAACACGGTCCTTAATGGCTCTTAGATACTCTCTCAATTTATAACAAGCACATAGAGTCAAAACATTCTAACAAATGTATGTATATAAATTACCAGCTCACGGCTTATTCTATACAGCAAAGACCAATTTTGTTTTTTTAAGTGCAATGGAACCCGAATTGTTCATACTGATCGTAACTCCACCATAGAATAGACCAGTAAATAAAACCATCAAAGTTTAGAGCCCGAAACGCTCATATTGCTCCAAATCCCACTACAGAAATCACCAAGTAAACCGTCAAGCGTTTGAGAATCTGAAACATTCTAATTGCTCCAAACTGCAATCTAGAAATGACCAGCAAGTACAGTCGTCAGAGTACAGAGCCCGGAACGGTCATGTTGCTCCAAACTGTAATCTAGAAATGACCAGCAAGTACAATGGTCAGAGCACAGAGCCCGGAACGGTCATATTTTTCCGAACCGTAATCTAGGAGTGACCAGCATACAGTTTACATCTGTAGTGTACTGAGAAAAACAACAACAAAGTTTTCTTTCTCTCACGTGCACACATGGTATCACAAAGCTCGCCTACTAAAACCGCTAACAGCTGTAACCGCTAAGCTACGCTTTTATAAAAGTTACACACATCTCATCATCATACCCGTAGCGCATGCTCTTAAACGATTGTTTCGTTAAGATGTAAACAAAAATAAACACGGTAAGCACGAGGTTGCTGTCAACAGCAAACGTTTACAACTACGAGTACACATGCCCGTATGGCTAAACGCTCGCGACATGATTCGTCACCTCTGATAAGGTCCAGACGCGACACATCATGTATACGTGCAGGGTCGTGTAAGAAACCTTTGATTGATCTGTTAATTGTGTTCAAGGTTCTGCTGACGAAGCTATTTGTTGCTACAGCAACAGTTTATCGAAAATCCACGGCAGGGGGTACTGTTGGTCTCGTTCCAAAAAAAAATATAATAAAATAAAATAACATTTCTGCTAAAGCACTTAAGCCATGCGTAATACATTCATTTAGGCCTTTTGTTTATTATCCTTTGAATTCATCCAACCCAAAGAAAGAATATCATATTTTTCTGACAACTCCACCTCGTGGTATCTGGAGAAGACAGAGGAGTAGACTGGGTAAACTAGCAATACAAACTTGGAGATATCTTCATTTCAGAGACTGGCAGGATTATTATATTAAAATTGACAAAGTCATGCTAATTTATACATTTAAAAATACAAATTGTTACAGCAACATCTCGTAACCCTCGTTCAGCGACACATGGGACAATGAAATAATTACCAAGACAAGAGATACGGAAGGGGAAGAGTAAAATGTGTTCTGGTAATGGGGGATATCTGTCACGTGAGGTTCACAAAACAGTGGGTGAAATTCGTTCGGAGGCGGATGAAATCTCTCCATTCAGAAGTCGCAAATGTACAATTGTTTTTTAACACTTAAAATAGGGAAAACTTGGTAATTCAACACACACACAACGGCCCATACTTAAACTACCATCGACTTTCAGGGAAAATAAGTTGCATTAGAACCAGCTTTTCAAGTGCGCGTCTTCAAATAAAAACGTTAAAAACAAAACGTCGCGCTCTAAAGACAACTAAAAGCTAAGGAACAAAAGGCAATGTGTGAAGGTTATTTAAAAATGTAACTTACTAAGAGGCGTATTCGTAAATAGGCCACGCACAGCGGTAGGGATATACCGTCTATCAAATTTAACTTCTACACTTCACTCCCGATTATCAGTGGACGGATTATCCGGTTTGTGATTTAACCGTGCTGTTACCATCTTCACTCCATTCGTTTCGTTCATCTTATTGATTACTGAGATGGTAAAAAGTACACGAATTATACCGATAATGCAACAAAAACTCGAGATTATTGATAACAACGAACAATGCTTGACGGAGAAATATAACACTTCCGTTCCACAGGTCGAAAGAATTCTCAGTAGCCGCGGCTGCAATTAGATCTCAAATCGGTCAAGAGATGGAGCTATGAGTTAAAAGTTTGTACTTGAAAAAAAAAACAACAAAAAAACAAGACATTTTATGAGCAGCTAAGCCACGGCTAAAAAACATATCAAACAAGACTTTAAATTATTATTGCTAAGCCTCTCATGTTGTATATTATGTATAACTGTTTAGTATCACATAAAAAAAAACGTTTGTGAACTTTCATTTTTATCACATATATGTTAGTTTTCCCGTATGTTTTGTATTATCCGTGTTGTTGCTTTACTTCTTTCTTCTCCATTTCCCCGGAAAATCGAGTCAACAGATTTCGTAAGCCTCAGATGTGAAAAAAATTGTAAACATTAATAAAAGATATGGGTTATCAAACCAAATTCGTCCCTCATCAAAACTAACCACCACCACCACCACCAAGCTGTGAGAAACTATCTGATATTAGTGAAAGAAATTTACAAAACACACACACACACATACGTATAGACAGACAGTTTATGTTTGGTTAAAAAATGAGCAGTAAAATATTTATACTGAAGAAATTTATATATCGACATGTTAATCATTTACTAGGCCTTACACAAATCGCTGCAAACTGAGCATGCTCTGAAAAATGACTACACACACTTCCAATATCGGAATACTTACATAACGTAGTTGAGCCGAAAAAGGCTTCTATTACCATAACATTATATATACATGTAGACACACTTAAAAAAAACAAAAAAAAACATTATTTACGTTATAGGCCACGTACCAAGTAATTAGCAAGACGTTCCACTCCAGTTGGTTGTGACGTCACAGCCCTCCAACACAGTTGTTTGTGTGAGTGTGTAACTTGATAAATAAATAAATGCTCTATCTCCAGTTAAACAGATATAAAATTAAGAGTTTGTGTGAAACTTCAGCGCCCATTCTTCCCTTCACTTATATTGGACATTTTTCTCAAACTTAACATTGTACAGATTTTATATTGTTGTGATTCAATCTCCAACAAGAGGAGCAACCAGGGATT